CCACTCCACTAACCTCCCACTGAGTGATCACAGACTGAAACGTGAACTGGGTAGAAGAACAAGATCACATTTGGGGTAGTGTCTTGTAGTATATATATATACATAACATCCACCTTATTTACTACCCTTACCACTCAAAATATTGCCTTTGAATTCAAGCATTAATGTCACAGACAAATGTTGCCTCCTTTTAACAAACAGGGTAGCATACAAATAATAGGCTATTATATATAGAACTAAAACCCAAACTATTTGTATTAGAATGGAATTAATACAGGAATTCGGTTGCAGTCATTAGAGAAAATAATCTTGCCAGCTTAATTCCAGTGTTGTAACAAGGTCACATTGGTGCCATCTGATTGATTGAAACCAGGTAACCAGGCCATTCTTCTTGACACAATCATGTGGTGCTTAGTGGGATACAATAGAATCAATGCATTATTAATTCAACATCACAGAACATTTTACATTTCAATGACCTACAAGTTAATGATATTTAATATTTAAACATAAACAATTCCCAACGTCTTTCTACCAATCTTACTGTGACAGATGTGTGTGTGGGGGGTGTTTGAGTGAGTGAGTGAGTGTAGATTTTAGGGCATTCGTGTGCAAAAACCTATGTTTAGCCACATATCAAAAGTGAATGCAGACCATTCGATATAACATTGGAACTAGGTGCATTGGGGTCTAATATATGGTCTTTCAATTCTGTACCTACAATTATTTCTATGGCCATTGACAGCACTTTCATTTGGTTACAACAATTATGATGAAATATTTGAATCAAATTTAAAATTTAGAATATCATAAAAAAATGAAATACATATGTTTGCCCCACTATATCAAACTTACATTTAAAAAAAAAGACTAACAGATGGGTTCCTAAACATGGCCCCATGACTGGCATGTTAAAATCGGATTGGTATTCTTTGAGCAAGTATAGAGGACTCCACAGTTAAAATTATACATGTGTATCTTCTGGTACATAGGCAATGTAGTTTCAGAGATGTTGAAATACAATAACAATAGATCAACAGGGCTATGTGAAAGTCAAAGGTTGTAGCTAGATCAAAAAGTCGACAATGCCCTAAGATTGTCAGTTATATTAATAACCACATACTGGCTACACATGAAACTAGATGTTATTACACAGGAAGAAACGGCTCAGTAATGACCAAAAATGTTATTTTCAACATGGTTCCATTGGTGGCCTTGCTTGAACTCAGATTGGACTTCTCTGAGCAAGTTTTTGAGACACCACAGCTGTAAACTTTCATGCAAAGTTTCCACTTCACAGGCCTTGTATTTTCAGAGCTGATGAAAAAATGTCAAAAGTTAATGATGGACAGACAATCAGACAAATGACGCATAACGTACCATGACCCTAGCATACTTCATTCTCAGTCAGGTGATCTCAACAGTAATGATACACCCCTTGGTGAAGACGAAGCACAGTCAAGTCTTACAGAACACTCCCTCTACCTTCTACACCAAAAATTGGCTGCCAGCCAACATATCAAACCAGCCGTATGAACACCATCAATACCAGTGAAGGTACACATTAAAGAAACACATCTTTTCTAGCAGGAATATAGGGCAGTGTTAAGTGTTGCAGTGGTGATCTCATATAGCAGTACTGCAGAAGGCATTTGTGGTTTCACCAGGGTTGAATGCTTACAAGTTTGCACTGAAAAGTCATTTGAGGCTCGGATCTATTACCACAGAAATGCTGCGATTACAGTACACGGCACATTCAGTTGCGTTAGCCTTACCCTTGAGTACAGCTGGAGGGGAGGGGCACCTGACTCAGTGTGCCTGGAGCTGGGTTAACGGAGTGGTGACTTTACAGCAGGCCCAATATGATGCTGTGCAGGATGACGTCACGCTCAACTCTAGCAGGGGAGGGTATGACTGACTACAGAAATGACCCCACACAAATCTCAACTACAGCAGACAGGCAGTCACACCAGCCTCGACCAGGCAACAAGCATGGGTTGCAGAGGACCAATTCTACCCAGATCTACATAGGTCTCTGCGCATGAAAGGGCATCCTAAACTTGTGTCTTAGATATTGAGACCACTGAGAAACTTATCAGCAAGCTAAAAGCAAAAACAATATGTCGACATGATGGACTGGAACTAAGGAGCAGCAACACCCGGTGGCAGCTTAAACCACTGGCCAGTCTACAGTCACAAGTTGTCTTATACATATGGAAAAATACAAACACCAGCAATATCACCAATCATACAACACATTATCATGAGTGAGTATGGTTTTGAGCCTCTTTTAGCAATTTCCAGCAATATCGCGGTGGGGGACACCGCAAATGGGCTTCTCACATTGTATCTATGTGGAGAATCGAACCCGGGTCTTTGGTGTGACGAGTGAACACTTGAACCGCTAGGCTACCCCACTGTCCCCATTATGATGAAATATCATTATGAATGCCAAATACTGCATACCAAATTTAACCAATATGAAAAAATTCAAACACCAATAAGGGCTTTCGAGGGAACCCATGCATAAGACAAATGAAGGTCGTAGCCAACACAAGCAGGACTGACTATACTAGCCTGTCATACAGACCCTGAAACAAACATATACAAGAAAGCCAATGCAAGTCTAGATTATGTGGTAAGTCTAGATTTCCACAGTTTCTGAAAATGAAGAAAGTCCTTTTCATCATATTTTATTATTTTTATTATGAACTTTTTTTTCTTCTGTATAATAAGTTCATTTCAGAGACTAATTGTTAGTCTATTACTATACAAACACCCCCCCTCACTGGTGAGGCCGTCAAATAGAGGCAGATGAGGATGCTGGGAGTGCAGCCTACGCTCCAGTACAGCACAGCACCTGTAGAGGGAGGGAGTCAGTCCCACACCCTGATGCACATCCTACACAGATCAGTCATGGAAAACTCCACCAGTCAGTGAATGTGTGCCACATATTGGAGCCAACAGGTTCAGCTATTTCTGGAGCTTCTGGCAAATTACCTGGCACCATCCAGAGGTCTCACCAGCAGACATCAGAGTATCATACTGGAATGAACACTGAACAATGTACTGAACATATACGTCTGGAATTTTTATGATTGTTTGGAATGAGTGTGTTTGGTATCAGTATATAGCAGTACCTCAGTCCTGTGAAAGTATGTCACTTCAATAGGGTTCAATATAGGCCAAAGCGATGTTTCACTACCTTGCTGCCAGTCTGAAGATAGTAATTACTAAAGAGATTCCAGCCCAGAACCACTGCAGTCTGGGAGCAATGCAATACAAGTCTGCATAGATTCAACACCTGATTCCCTAGACAATATGAGGTTAAGTGTTGCTCTGATAGACTGCAGGTATACTGTTACTGAAGAAAGCACACTTTGCGATTTCAGAAACCTAAGTAATCAAAATGTAAAGTAGCAAGTTTCGAAATTTTGTCCACAAAAGCCCTCATCAAAATGAATCAATTGTTGTCTGATATACAGCTACACATAGCTGCAGACACATGGTATTGATGGTTGCTCCCTTTCAGGCATCATTCATTACATTCTTGGCTGAAAATCAACAACTTGCATATGTGGCCATTCACAATGTTTATCATCAACAGTTTTGCCTCAGGAAACAATATTGCAGGAGTGATTAACAGACCACCTTTCATGATACACAATGTTATTCAATGTTATTGTTTGTCTACACTTAATTTGGTCCATTATTAATGGTGTATTTTCCAGCTACACAGATATGAGTGATTACCTTGTCGGTAGGGCTCTTACAATAATTAGCTAGGATACCTGCAAGGTTTCTCTATGACTTCCAAGCCATGCTCTGTGACTCTTGTCTCAAAAGTGGCTCTCCTACTGTCTGTGGCTGCTCCAGAACTGGAGGCTGAAGCCGTACAGTCATGTTAAGTTGATATATTTGAAGAAGAATCTACAGGGTTATTGGAAACAGGAAGATAAGGGCTCGAGGCTTACATGCAGCTTTCGCATGACATTCATCAGAGTGACCTTCACATCCTGGTGACCTTCACCTTTCAAGATCAGGAATCATCAGCCATTGCGCTTCTAGAAACTATACTTTGCACGTAAATTTGTTAAATGTTTTATTTTTAAAACTGATTCATGTTATTTGTGGTAGCAACTTATCGTGGAGGAGTAAATGTAACAGCAGAGCTATGTACTGCTGACAGTCTGGTCGCATGACTTGGCTGGAGGGCAATGATATGTGTTCTCATATTTTGTTTTATGTGTGTATCTAAAACAAAACAGACTGGAAGACATATCATATTATATTATTATTGTTTAAAACTTCAGGAAATGTGTCGATCTTTCTCTTCTGGATTTTTTTTCATATTAATTTCAAACTCTACAGTACTTCTGGAAAGTTCAGCAGGTGTCCAGTTCAGCTCAGGATGACCCAAGTTTGTTGTACACTTTTCTTTTTATTTCTTTGTTTTCTATAAAATCAACAAATTCAACAAATTTGAAAATAGGAACTAGAGTGAGTGAGTGAGTGAGTTTAGTTTTACGCTTTTAGCAATATTCCAGCAATATCACGGTGGGGGGACACCGGAAATGGGCTCCACTCATTGTATCCATGTGGGGAACCAAACCCGGGTCTTCAGCATGACGAGCGAACGCTTTAACCACCAAGCTACTCCACCGCCCAACAGGAACTAGACCTCTGAAGAGGTGTCCTTCATGTGAACAGTTCATTTTCCTGAGTCTGTGTCTGTGTTATGCTGATTGAGTCGTAATCCTGCTCACTAGGACCTTAGATAGACTATTGCGTTATCTCTAAAGGAATAGATTTTTGAGAGAAAGAAACAACTCAATGTTCATCTGAGAGGAGTGGAATGGGAACCTCAGGAAAACCTAGATTTAGGAACACCACATTACAGTTAGAGCTGGGCAGCAGGAAAATAACACAGTTCAGGGAATGCAACACTAAGACCTTGGACTGAGCTGGTCATTGTTCAATTTTTCAAATGATCGGCCTACCATGAGTTTTTCCTCATCCATGTCCTTGAGGTCCCGCCCTGCGATGTTCTTCTCTCGGAACAGCTCCACGTAGCGGTACAGGTTGAGAGCTGCCATCCATTCAATTACATGGTTGACTGTCCAGTTCTCTAGCGGCTGGAAGGAAAACACAAAATGTTTGTGAAAAAACTTATTCAATGCTTATGTGTTCTTAACGATTAAAAAACATTTCCATGTGACGAATGAGTGAGTTGAGTGAGTGAGTGAGTGAGTGAGTGAAGCAAGTTTTTATTGCTTAATGTCCTGCAGTTATTTGCTGCAAACTATCTGAAATGATTAGTAAGGTGAAACCTGTTGGATATATATCAACTTATTTGCAAGTAACAAGTAATACTTGTACTATCATAATATAGTTTGATATTATTTGCAGCTCATGATCCAATTGTGTGAGATGTCATATATAAAAATAATCAGGATTTAAAAGCAAGCGTGCAATGGCAATCTGATAAGCACTGCTCAGAAAACAAGGAAACTTCTTTTCAAGTGCGTTTTACTTTTGTAGCTTACTATGTAACAAATTTGAGTGAGTGAGTGAGTTCAATTTTACGCTGCAGTCAGCAATATTTCAGCTATATGGTGGCGCTCTGCAACAAATTTGAAAAATTAACAAGAATTATGACTTTCCAACATCAAAAATAGTGTCAGCTTGTCATAAGCAAAATGGCGGCAACCTGGTCACACAAAACTTCATTTCATTATTAGAATTGTTTTGAAAAAAAAATATCAATGTCTTCATTTCAGTGCCTTTTTCCAAACGAGATAGTTGAGAACTCCAAACATGTTCTATCTGAATGCACTTGGTCATACAACCTTGAAGTCTATTTCAAAGTGGGTAAATTTGAAACCCTGCCAATATCTTGTGGTTCAGAAAAGAAATAAAAACTCAATCATTGTAATGTCTCATTACCATTTAAACAAGTCAAACTAGTTATACAGTTGTGACATTTATTTAACGGCTGAAACTGCGACTGTGCTTCTCCATTAACCTACATCTGAGAAGGCCACAAGGCCACAGTCGGTACACTGGTCGGGAAATAAGTACAGGTATTCATGGTGGCAGTCATTAGGGAAAATAATCTTGCTAGCTTAACTCCAGTGTTATAACAAGGTCACATCTGTACCATCTGATTGGTTGAAACCAGGTAACCAGGCCATAATTTATGACAATACATGTGGATGTTTATTGATTTTTATATACAATAGAATCAATGCATTATTAATTCAAAGTCATGGCACATTTTACAAAACATACCACTGACCTACAAGTTAATGATATTTAATATTTAATAACACTTCCACATAAAAATTTCAAAAGAAAAGGTTAAATTTAAACACAAACCATGTACCGGTATACATGTGTATGTGTCGAGTATTTATCTCTATGTTCCATTGTTGAAAATATTACTGAATCTGTGAAACATAAAATCTCCAATCAAGAAACTCTAAATTGTTCCCTACTAATTGCTGGCTCTTGTAGTCTGCTAATATGGACACACTTGTAGCCCAAGGTGTTGGCCAAGCTGATGGTGTTGGCTGGGAGATTGAAACAATTCACTTAAAGGTGGCCAACACGTTGCCCCGAGGTGACTTCCATAATGATAGAGTGCACCCTTACGTCTATCTGCGTCACTCACTCCATCGCCTGCGATAGCATCGTCAACGTCATATCCTCCTTCCTGAAGTAATTAGCGAATGGTCTATCTAGGTCAGTGTGGAACCTTGAAGGATGAGAGTCACTTTCATGTTGCACACCACAGTTAATTACATCAATATCACCAAATCTCCAGGTATAAATGTGGCAGTGAAAGAAAGAAGCTGCCTCAAGACACATCCTTTTGTAACAACTCAAAAATAATCACATGACACTGACTTGATCGAATAGTATGTCAAGCTTTTCAAACACATTACATGGTGAGGAAACAGTCTAAGAAGTCCTACATTCTAAGAAAGAGTCCTAGCGTATAGGTTTAAAGATACCTTGATATATTTTTAACATGAAAATCAAAGTTTGCTCTCGTTCTTTCATAATCCATTGGGACTGAAATATGAGTACTATATGTGTATTATAAGTGTGCTATATATATAAATCTTAAATGTTTATATTAAATTTATGGAGAACGTGTGCAATTACCAGTTAGTGCATGATGGAACTGTATATTACTTTGACAACAGCAGTGCCAGGTTTATTGCTAAAAGAATGTGTGAGTGAGCAGGCGGCGGCGATGGTGTGAGTGTGTGAGTGAGCAGGCGGTGATGGTGTGAGCGTGTGAGTGAGCAGGCGGCGATGGTGTGAGGGTGTGAGTGAGCAGGCGGCGATGGTGTGAGCATGTGAGTGAGCAGGCGGCGATGGTGTGAGTGTGTGAGTGAGCAGGTGGCGATGGTGTGACCATGTGAGTGAGCAGGCGGCAATAGTGTGAGCGAGCAGGTGGCGATGGTGTGAGTGTGTGAGTGAGCAGGCGGCGATGTAGTCTGTCTCACAGTCCCTGAACCACATTAATTTCCCTACTGCCAAGCCCTCTCTGCAGTGCTAAAGCCCTAAATAAAGCAAGTCTAGATTTCCTCAGGTTCTGAATCTCTGGTCTCCCTAGGGCTCCTTTTCAATATAAATGGGCTTGTTTGTTACTATCAAAATTATATATATTCAGAGACTAAGCCTTAGTCTAGCGGCGATGGTGTGAGCGTGTGAGTGAGCAGGCAGCGATGGTGTGAGTGAGCAGGTGGCGATGGTGTGTGTGAGTGTGTGAGTGAGCAGGCGGCGATGGTGTGAGCAAGCAGGTGGCGATGGTGTGATGGCGATGGTGTGAGTGTGCAGGCGGCGATGGTGTGAGTGTGAGTGAGCAGGCAGCGATGGTGTGAGCGAGCAGGTGGCGATGGTGTGAGTGTGAGTGAGCAGGCAGCGATGGTGTGAGTGAGCAGGCAGCGATGGTGTGATTGAGCAGGCGGCAATAGTGTGAGCGTGTGAGTGAACAGGCGTGAGATAGTGTGAGTGTGGTTGGACATGTAAACCTGTGCAGGCTGGTACTACAGGTTGTCTTGAGTATGTGCGTTTGCAAAGCTGAGAATAAGAAAGTAATGAAGAGTCTCTGATGGTCTGGTGATTGTTTAAATCGGCATTAACAGGGGAAGTCTGGGATTCAAACCCAGAACCCTCAGATCCTGACCTGGTGGCACAGGGACTCGATGATGGCAGAAGAGAAGTGTGTATGTAACTCCAATGCATCGGCTCCCAATGGAACATTGATTTCAACCAAGAAGGGAAATTGCAGCCAATATAAAAATATGAGCCAGCAGCTGGGGTATAACACAATCGGTCTTTGTACTCGGATATGGCAAATATGCTCCACGTATACAAATATCACTCACAGCCAAATGAACAGCTTTTGTACAAGTTACATTATTAACCTCTCTTCTAATAGATTCTGGAGCAATGAATCACATCTTAACAAACTAAATATAATTCTGTTTAAAATATGGAATTGACTGTTGTAGTCAGCATAAAAATAAAGGCATATGATAATTTATATCCCTGCCAATATTGAACATGACATGTACGCCTTCTGTAATCACCCTTCCCTCCTCAGCCATGAAGTTGTGCATGTAATCCCTTGTGGATCATATACAGACAGATTCAGAATGCTATGGATAGGTCAGAGGCATGGGCAACACCAACTGCTATTCATGTCCCTTGTGATAAACCAGTGACATGACACTTCTATACCTAGTACACGGCCATTCATTGCCATAGCAACCGGGTGTGATGATTTCCTCCTTACTGACCAGGTCAAACTGTTGCTTGGGTTGGATTGTTTGATCCCCATTCACAGAAAATGGGTCAATATCCTCCTACAGATATACCCAGCTGTGTTACACCTTGGTGGACAATAACCGGAATCTATATGACTTTATCACATACCTCCGTGTGACCAGCACATGGCAAAGACATATACCATGTTCAAAGAGTGAAACTAATGTTATACATTGTATATGTTATATTTGGGACTACGCTTCCTCAGTAAAGTACAGATTCTAGTACTTTTGTTGGGTTGAGTCCCATCCGGGATTCGAACCCACACCATCAGAGAGTAACTAATGTTAGTTTCAACCTGTGTTATTCTTGGAAAATCAGTAGTACGTTGCAATGTTTGTTAAGGGGAATCTATATCAACCTGACGTGTGCTTCTCACTATATAATAAGCATCGCTTCTTTTCCCGGAATAACCGCATTTGAGGTTTTTGTTTGCTCTCAGGTTTTACTTTTTGTAAGAAAGACCTCTTCCCAGGTTTTATTTTTTCCTAACTCTATATGAACATCAACATTCAAATGATATATGAGCGTTTGAAATCAACTGAAAAATATCGTCCAAGATCAATTTCAAAGTGCAAATGTTTTCCTAAGGAGGATTACAACCGTATCTATCAGGTTAATAAGCGGACGCTCTACCTCACGGCCACCGCACCGACGAAGATGTTGGGGTTGAATTATCTATTTATAGTTACTGTAATTAAATTGATTTTACTTGTGCTTCAGTTATTGTTATGTAGCTTCATTAAATGATCATCTACATTATAATTATCCATCATTGACGGTTTATATGTTAGGGAAAACACTTCCCCTTGGTTTTGGTAGAGAATGTAAACCCTTGTATTGGTATACCAATATACAACCTTCATTAATATACCATACCTAGCTGAGGTCTACATCTAGTATACAACCTTCATTAATATACCACACCTAGCTGAGGTCTACATCTAGTATGTAACCTTCATTAATATACCACACCTAGCTGAGGTCTACATCTAGTATATAACCTTCATCAATATACCATACCTAGCTGAGGTCTACATCCAGTATATAACCTTCATCAATATACCATACCTAGCTGAGGTCTACATCTAGTATATAACCTTCATCAATATACCATACCTAGCTGAGGTCTACATCCAGTATATAACCTTCATCAATATACCATACCTAGCTGAGGTCTACATCCAGTATATAACCTTCATCCTGTATCAATATACCATACCTAGCTGAGGTCTACATCTAGCTGAGGTCTACATCCAGTATATAACCTTCATATATAAATCAATATACCATACCTAGCTGAGGTCTACATCCAGTATATAACCTTCATCAATATACCATACCTAGCTGAGGTCTACATCCAGTATATAACCTTCATCCTGTATCAATATACCACACCTAGCTGAGGTCTACATCCAGTATATAACCTTCATCCTGCATCAATATACCACACCTAGCTGAGGTCTACATCCAGTATAGGTCTACCTTCATCCTGCATCAATATACCATACACCTAGCTGAGGTCTACATCCAGTATATAACCTTCATCCTGTATCAATATACCACACCTAGCTGAGGTCTACATCCAGTATATAACCTTCATCCTGCATCAATATACCACACCTAGCTGAGGTCTACATCCAGTATATAACCTTCATCCTGCATCAATATACCACACCTAGCTGAGGTCTACATCCAGTATATAACCTTCATCCTGTATCAATAAACCACACCTAGCTGAGGTCTACATCCAGTATATAACCTTCATCCTGTATCAATATACCACACCTAGCTGAGGTCTACATCTTCTTTATTATCTTCATGCTTCACAATATAACATGTCTAGTACCATAACATTATCTCACTTCTAATACCACAACAGTATATCCCTTCCCAGCCAGCATACTCACCTGACTATACTCCAGTGTGTGGCCCTGGGGGTTAGTATTCTCACCTGGCTATACTACAGTGTGTGGCCAGCATACTCATCTGACAATACAAAGAGTGTGTGGCCCTGGGGAAAGACTTCTCACCTGACTATGCTACAGTGTGTGGCCCTGGGGCAAGACTTCTCACCTGACTATACTACAGTGTGGCCCTGAGGGCCAGCATACTCATCTGACAATACAAAGAGTGTGTGGCCCTGGGGAAAGACTTCTCACGTGACTATGCTACAGTGTGTGGCCCTGGGGCAAGACTTCTCACCTGACTATACTACAGTGTGTGGCCCTGAGGGCAAGACTTCTCACCTGACTATACTACAGTGTGTGGCCCTGGGGCAAGACTTCTCACCTGACTATACTACAGTGTGTGGCCCTGGGGCAAGACTTCTCACCTGGCTATACTACAGTGTGTGGCCCTTGGGCAAGACTTCTCACATGACTATACTACAGTGTGTGGCCCTGAGGGCAAGACTTCTCACCTGACTATACTACAGTGTGTGGCCCTGGGGCAAGACTTCTCACCTGACTATACTACAGTGTGTGGCCCTGAGGGCAAGACTTCTCACCTGACAATACAAAGAGTGTGTGGCCCTGGGGAAAGACTTCTCACCTGACTATGCTACAGTGTGTGGCCCTGAGGGCAAGACTTCTCACCTGACTATACTCCAGTGTGTGGCCCTGAGGGCCAGCAAACTCATCTGACAATACAAAGAGTGTGTGGCCCTGGGGCAAGACTTCTCACCTGACTATGCTACAGTGTGTGGCCCTGAGGGCAAGACTTCTCACCTGGCTATACTCCAGTGTGTGGCCCTGGGGGTTAGCATTCTCACCTGACTATGCTACAGTGTGTGGCCAGCATACTCACCTGACAATACAAAGAGTGTGTGGCCCTGAGGCAAGACTTCTCACCTGGCTATACTACAGTGTGTGGCCCTGAGGGCAAGACTTCTCACCTGGCTATACTACAGTGTGTGGCCAGCATACTCACCTGACAATACAAAGAGTGTGTGGCCCTGGGGCAAGACTTCTCACCTGGCTATACTACAGTGTGTGGCCCTGAGGGCAAGACTTCTCATCTGACTATACTCCAGTGTGTGGCCCTGGGGCAAGACTTCTCACCTGACTATACTACAGTGTGTGGCCCTGAGGGCAAGACTTCTCACCTGGCTATACTACAGTGTGTGGCCCTGAGGGCAAGACTTCTCACCTGACTATACTACAGTGTGTGGCCCTGAGGGCAAGACTTCTCACCTGACTATACTACAGTGTGTGTCCAGCATACTCACCTGACAATACAAAGAGTGTGTGGCCCTGGGGCAAGACTTCTCACCTGGCTATACTACAGTGTGTGGCCCTGATGGGGGCAAGACTTCTCACCTGGCTATATACTACAGTGTGTGGCCAGCATACTCACCTGACAATACAAAGAGTGTGTGGCCCTGGGGCAAGACTTCTCACCTGGCTATACTACAGTGTGTGGCCCTGAGGGCAAGACTTCTCACCTGGCTATACTACAGTGTGTGGCCAGCATACTCACCTGACAATACAAAGAGTGTGTGGCCCTGGGGCAAGACTTCTCACCTGGCTATACTACAGTGTGTGGCCCTGAGGGCAAGACTTCTCACCTGACTATACTACAGTGTGTGGCCCTGAGGGCAAGACTTCTCACCTGACTATACTACAGTGTGTGGCCCTGAGGGCAAGACTTCTCACCTGACTATACTACAGTGTGTGGCCCTGAGGGCAAGACTTCTCACCTGGCTATACTCCAGTGTTGGTTCCAGATTGGTGGCCTTCTCCCGTGTGCAGTGAGAGTTGTTGACAGTCCCAGAACACAGAGTGTGGCAGCACTTTCCACAAGCTGAAACAAAAACATTACATATGTGAAACAACTCCGGAAGGCACAACTGGCTACTTGGAAGCAGGATGCATGTATTTCACCCACTGCACACTCCCTTGATCTGTGTTCTAAACACCCTGCATGATATGGGTCTCATCACACAGAGAGTACACCCCTGCATACTTTTTCTACTCCTATTGTACCCTGAAGCATACCTCCTGAATGTACCCTGGAACATACCTCCTGAATGTACCCTGGAACATGCCCCCTAATTGTATCCTGGAATATGCGTCCTGATTGTATCCTGGAACATGGCCCTTGATTGTACCCTGGAACATGCTCCCTGATTGTACCCTGGAACATGCCCCCCGATTGTATCCTGGAACATGCCCCCTGATTGTATCCTGGAATATGCCCCCTTATTGTATCCTGGAATATGCCCCCTGATTGTACCCTGGAATATGCTCCCTGATTGTATCCTGGAACATGCCCCCCGATTGTATCCTGGAACATGTCCCCTTATTGTATCCTAGAATATGCCCCCTGATTGTACCCTGGAATATGCTCCCTGATTGTATCCTGGAACATGCCCCCTGATTGTACCCTGGAACATGCCCCCTGATTGTACCCTGGAACAAGCCCCCTGATTGTACCCTGGAACATGCGTACTGAATATACCCCAGAACATACCCCCTGATGTACCCTTGAACATGCCCCCTGATTGTACCCTGGAACATACCCCCTGATGTACCCTGGAACATGCCCCCTGATTGTACCCTGGAACATGTCCCCTGATTGTACCCTGGAACATGCCCCCCGACTGTACCCTGGAACATGCCTCCTGATTGTACCCTGGAACATGCCCCCTGATTGTATCCTGGAACATGTCCCCTGATTGTACCCTGGAACATACCCCCTGATGTACCCTGGAACATGCCCCCTGATTGTACCCTGGAACATGCCCCGAGATTGTACCCTGGAACATGTCCCCTGATTGTACCCTGGAACATGTCCCCTGATTGTACCCTGGAACATGCCCCCCGACTGTACCCTGGAACATGCCCCCTGATTGTACCCTGGAACATGCATCCTGAATGTACCCTGGAACATGCTCCCTGATTGAACCCTAGAAAATGTTTCCCGACTGTATAAGTTATTTACAGACTGTTTCGGTCTTGACGAAAACTGTTCCCTGTTTCTCATAACACTTGAAGTGTATTTTCTTTTCTTTATAACACTATCGCCATAGTGACATCAAAGATTACCTCGGAAATAGCCCTCTGGAACAGGATGTCAAAATGGCATTTTACCCAATACTGACATCCAGGCAATTAGCAATTCGGGTCATCCAAGCCAATTATTCTATATTTTGATTGGTTTCGCCAACTAGGCACCTGGTGTCAAATGACCAAAGAATCTAAGCAAAAACTTGGCTTAATTATATTTCCATCATGATAGAGAAGACTTACTACGATGAGTGAGATAGGTTTATCATATATTGGTTCGAGTTATCAGCTCGATAAACCAATTCAATAAACTTGGTATCATGATCAGCTGAATATACAAATGGGGCACCTACCAGGAACTACTTTTTGGTAAGGTTGTACAAAGAGGTGGTGTTTACCTTCACAAACATTGATCAACAAAATAATTAAATGATGGTCTCCCTATAACGTCATTGCTGCAAATCATTTTGCAATTTATTCTTACATCCTGTTCGATACAGGGTCTATGAAGTTAGTAATAATACCACTAAAACTCAGTTGTTGACATCATATGACAAATAGATTATTACCATCATGCCAAAGGCTCACACATTAGAATTAAAATTCCTATTGTATGATATTTATGCTATGAAATCTGTGAATTTGGTAAATAATATCTTTTTATTAGCAAGACTATCACACTAAGATGGGAACTTCACTGAGGGAATGTCTCATGGGACTGCCTGGACGCCTCACTGAGAGAATACAGGAACTGGCCACACAATACACATTTCCTCCAGGTGATCCATCATGTCATAAAATAATGGTTTCAGTTCAAGTGAGCCAAAAACATAAGAATATAAAAATAATGACCTGCCTGTCAACATACCTTTGTGAAAAAAGACACAATGGACTGTGACTTCAAATTATCCCTAAAAATAGGGTAGACCTACAAGCGAATGACAAATTTAGGCAAGAATGCAGGCCTTTTTTGGCTTAAGACTGTCCGTGGAGTTGAACATCTGCTATGTTATAAGATTCCTCATCGAATGTTTCTGTAATGTTCCCTTATTCAGTGTATGATCAGGGACGTCTTATTGTGTGTGACATATCATTTTGAAAAAGGATGGGGCGTGCGATTGGTTGAAAGGGAGTTAAATGTGTTGGTACTGTAAAGCTACTCTTATTAGCGAGATGTATTTGGTAACAGTTGGATTAGACGACGGAAATCCAACCTGTTAGTTTCCTTCAGCGCAAGTGGTCAGGCAGACACCGTCGTATTCGTTCTTACTCCTGCACTCATAGGCAGGAAGTAATTGTTGAATATGAATTAAATCTGGCTATTAATAAATGGGTACCAAATTACAGTGAAACATAATTAGATGCAAATTCAGTTACATAATTACAGTCCCATTTCATAAGAAAATGATTTTTACAGGCAGAATGTTTTACAGTGTTTCTTGTTTGTTAATAAAAACATCATACATATCAAAGATTTTTGTAAACTGAAACAAGGATCAAATACAAACCTTCACACTTCTTCCCTACTTTTGAGGTCCCCCAAATGTAGTCATTGCCTGAAACAGAGGAACAGACCATTACCTTATGAAACCCATTAGCTTGTGGGAACTCTGATGAACAAGTCATTAGCTTGTGGACTCTCTGACGAACAAGTCATTAGCTTGTGGACTCATCTGATGAACAAGTCATTATCTTGTGGACTCTCTGATGAACAAGTCATTAGCTTGTGGACTCTCTGATGAACAAGTCATTAGCTTGTGGACTCTCTGATGAACAAGTCATTAGCTTGTGGACACTGATGAACAAGTCATTAGCTTGTGGACTCTGATGAACAAGTCATTAGCTTGTGGACTCTGATGAACAAGTCATTAGCTTGTGGACAATCTGATGAACAAGTCATTAGCTTGTGGACACAT